TCTCAGCAACAGTGGCGCGCTCTATAACCGTGCAGCCACAGCGCGCGGGTGTTACCTTGGCTAATGAGGTCGGCTCGTAGGAGCGGGTAGAGCAAGCAACAGTGGCGCGCTCTATAACCGTGCTGCCGCAGCGCGCGGGTGTTACCTTGGCTAATGAGGTCGGCTCGTAGGAGCGGGTAGAGCATAGGTTCAATGCTGTCCATCTCCTGTATGATGAGCGTCTTGCCGAACCGGACAGACAGTTCCAGCGCCGTCGCAAAGTTACCATCCTGTGTGCAGCCGAACAAACAAAGGGTGAGAGCGAACGGAGATGAACGAACAAACGAAGGAACTGGGTGAGCGGGAACAGAGATGAACGAACAAATGAAGGAACTGGGCGAGAGCGAACGGAGATGAACGAACAATCAAAGGAACTGGTGAGCACGAACTGAGATGAACGAATAAACGAAGGAACCGGGTGAGGACAAACAGAGATGAACTAACAAACAAAGGAACCGGGTGAGGACAAACAGAGATGAACTAACAAACAAAGGAACCAGGTGAGGACAAACAGAGATGAACGAACAATCAAAGGAACTGGTGAGCACGAACTGAGATGAACGAATAAACGAAGGAACCGGTGCGCACGAACTGAGAAAAACGAACGAATGAAGGAAACCGGTGAGAGCGAATGGAGAAGAACGAACTGAGGAACGATCTGGTAGTTCTGCAGCGCTCCAATCGTGCAAAGTTCCTGGCAAAGGGCAGGTGCTTCTTTGCCGTTCCCGCTTGCAAACCATGTGCCGTACGGAACAATGTATGGAACAACGAGCGATCTTCCTTCCATACTGCGCAGAACTTAAACCAGGTAAAGAACGGATCGGCGAACACATCGCCTAACGTCGCTCAGCCGCGATCACGTGTGTGACGTGTGGCTCCCCCTACCTGCTGATTGATGACCTCTAGCTTGGACTTCTCCTTCATGTGTGTCTTCAGCCACTCGGTCGCTCGGGAGGACGGATCGACGAGGAAGGGGCGCAGAGACGTCTGCAGTATCGTGGAGAACGATTGCGAATAAAAAACATGCTATGAATCTCACGAGCTTAGCAATGCTTAATTACCTCCCAACCTACTATATATCATCGGTAGTGCCATAATATAGATCTATATTATCTTGATATTATGACACTCCTAATATTATCATAGGTATATCTACAGAACTGTAATATTACACCATGATAGTTTAATATATTGTAATCTTAGTGCAATCAAATTTTTGTTTTTAATTAGTATAGATATACGTTCGTGATGTTTTCCTACTAAAGGACTACAACAATAAATGGAAATAATGTCATTAAATAGTACTATAGTCAGTGAATGCATGTATTTCTGGCTTCGAAGGTATATATTAAACAAAAAAAATCATAAAAAATACTCTCTGGCATCATATTTAGCTTTTGTAAGGATAGATTTAATTATTAATCTCGATTAATACTAAGAAGTTGCTACTTATCTCTAGTATATTATATTATATATTATTTATATATATATATTTTATTAGTATAGTATATTATAGTGCCTCCAATGCCCAATGTGCTACATCGACTTTTTCACTTGTTATTTCTTACTAAACGTATTCATGCATAGAAACGCGATGACATGGAGCCCGTTTGATTATTCGATATTACACTGCATTGCACAATAACAACATGCACACTAAATATGCAAGCCAGCGCAAGCTTTGTTACACACAACAACCGAGTGTTAGTGAGACACATACAAAAATCATCCCACACACGTCAACGATCGTTCAACAAAACCACGCAATGCAGCATTCAACATTACAGGGCACTGACAAGAGACGCTAGCCGTGTTGCATAGAGCGTAATTAGTAGCTAGGGTAGATTACTACACACGTAAGGGACTAGCATGGGACTACAAGGGACATCATGGGTTGCAGGCAGCATTAGACTCACGCGCGTAGCAGACATGCAACCCTCCAAAAAAAAAAAAAAATAATAATCACTGCACTCTCGCAAAGAAAAAAACGAAGCTCCCCCCACATGAAATGCTCGCAATGTGTGTGACACCGCTCAACTTCTGCAGATATTAAAGGTCTATGTCCCCCTGACCTCTGTTTGACCTGGCTCGTTTAGCTATTTCTGACTAATATATATATATATATATATGGGTTAGGGTTAGAGTTAGGGTTAGGGTTAGGGTTAGGGTTAGGGTTAGTCAGAAATAGCTAAACGAGCCAGGTCAAACAGCGGTCAGGGGACATAGACCCTACGAGCTCAACTTATAGATATTAATGCTATATGTCACATAGCGCCATCTCTCGTGAAGCACTGCTACAACAAGCTAAGCACGGTCAGTTTACGACGGGGTAGGGTCCCTATATACAAATATATATCTGTATATAGGGACCCTACGACGGGAGAGTTTATAGCGCCACCTGGCGAGGAGGGCGATCTACCTGCAGCGGCACAGACAAACTAGAAGCCACACACACTACGCTGAAGCATCGGAATGAGTGAGCACACAGCAAGCCTCGTGGAGCCGTGGCCCTGTCTTACCGTTAGAGGGAAATTGCACGTCTACGTCCCACCGTAAAGCGTATTTGTACGACAGAAAAGGAGAGAGAGAGAGAGAGAGAGAGAGAGAGAGAGATACAGAGAAACATCGAATAAAGTAATACGTTACGTTACAGAGCAACAGTTACATTATTGTATTACAACATATTCGTTAGCATGCCTGTTCGTGCATCACGGTATGTTATTACATTACTTTAGACACTAACACCAATATACTGCATATTATACTTCACATAGATGCACATTCATGTTCACTTAAGTCAAAGGTATGCCACAAATACCAAACTATACACAAATATTGTATATACATAACATACGAAACGTGCAATTACACTTGTTACGGATACGTTTGCAATTAAACCTCCATGCGTAGAGCCTGCCCTACCATTGATTGCTCTTACAACAACAAATATGCATGACAACAACACGATACCATCTGCACATTTTTAGCTCATGAATGACCTAGCTAAATTCCCAAACGTTGGCCATGCTATGTTAGGTGATGAACTAACATGGGGGCACGGTCCTCCTACACATCACCAACATATGTCAGCTACACGACTTGTCATTACATGCACAGCTAAATATATCACGCCTCTGCTCTGGGGACTGCGCTAGGATGAAACCCGTATCTGATAGCGAGGTAGTGGGAACATAACCCGTAGCTCTACCATACTATGCGGGCCGTGCTTCCCTGTGACAGCTAGACCATGGCTACGAGGTAGACTGCATTTATCCCAGCTACGTGAGAATGAAGGCATGGATGTCGTCTGTTTAACGATGTACAGGCAACAGCTATAACCTATGTAACAATACACAGGTGAGATCTCGTCTGTGTACGGAGATACAGCTAAGGCCAAACAAAAAAATGGGTGTTTCCGGTCGACCGACCGTCCCTAGATTATTAGGGCTGACCCAAAACTTTTTTTTTCAAAAAAAAAAGAAAAAAAAAAAGGTTTTTTAATTTGAAATCTGACAGACAAAACTGATATTTTACTACAAACACGTTCTGGACTTGCTTACTAACTTATCCCTACCTAGACACCACTTTATAGCATGCATCAGAGGGATATTAAAATAATATATATAAAAAATAAAAATATTCCTACCTACCTACCCTACTTTTGTTTTCGATGCAATAGGAAACACACCTATTATTTGTTTTTGCCTCCTGTTTAATAATGTACAGATAACAGCTAACCTGTATAATGATGCAAGGACAAGAGCTAAGCTGTGTAACAAACAATTAACATGTATAAGTGTTCACCTGTGTAACGATCTACAAGTAACAGCTAACCTGTATAGATAAGAGTTCATCTGTGTACCAATATACAGGTAAGAGCCACCCCCCCCCCCTGTGTGCCCAGGTAAGAACTAATCTCTCTACGGAGCACAGGTAACAATTAATGCACGTGTGTAACAACACCTCACCTGCAGTATAACGACAGCGTTCTCCATTGAGAGGTCGTCACTAGGAAGACCCTCAGCCTTCCACGTCAGCTGATCGCTCTCCGTACTCAGGAAGCGACGTAGATCGAATCCCTGTAACAACGGCCGAGCACAGATATGTAAGAGGGTCTACAGACACACAGGGTCGCCAGGGGGACAGACAGGGATCAGGGTGTCTAGTGACGGTGTCTAGATTAGGGACAGACACGTACAGATCTAGAG